GGCTCGTGGCAATTTTGGGGCTTCCGGCGGACATTTTGTAGCCGCGGAACAGCTGAGCGGCGGGGCGCAAAGCGAAGGTCGGTAAGCGAACCGCTTACCGACCTTTGCTCTGTGATTTTCCCCCTATCTAGGTGCCGTTTTGCGATCGCATTTTCGATCGCAAAAACGGCATCGTTGCGCGGATTCGTCGCTCTACGGAGCGACCGTTGCGCGAGGCACCACTGTATTGAAAGCTGTGAAGCGGTCCTGGAGATCCAGCAGGGCCTCAGTCCTCCTCTCCAGTTCCTGCCACAGGTCATGCACCAAGACAACCAAAACTGTCTCCATTCCACAGCCAGGCCTGAAACCAGACTGAAATGGATCTAGATAATCCATTTCATCCAGGAACCTCTACAACTGAGAACCCAATACACACTTCAATACCTTGACCTAAAATGGAATGTTAGAGACTAGATGGTAATTGTCCAGAATAGTGGGATTCAAGGAGGGCTTTTCAGCAGCTCTCCTTTTTGCAGCATGTGCAAGTGAAATGCGTGCTGCCGAGCACCCTAACATGCAGAAGTACAGAACTGGAGAAAGGAAAGAGAAAACCCCTCAAAAATGGACTAGTACATAAGGCATCAGATCAGTCATTGCATCAGGAGGGAGAATGTTCCCCATGTCCCAGGACAGGAGGAGGCACCAGGTGGGGTGGGGGTAATTACAACACTCACTTGTTCATCATTCCCTCCACAAACAGACTCTAATGCAAGAGGAGAAACTGCAGCACTCCAGATGTCGCTGGAATTGCCCCTATTGCTCCTGACCAACATCTATGTTGATGGTGACTGGAATTTAGTTTCCACCTTACTCAGGGATTACCCAAATTTTTTTTAATTTAATTCACCAAGTCAGTTTTTTGCCCTATTTTATTTGCACTTTCCTACCGAACCACCTGGGTTGCTACCAAGCAATTCCCCAGCACTATCCCCAAACCAAGAATGGAAAAGTTTTTGCTTGGTTAAAAAAAATACACACAACAACCAGCCATCAGACTCCTGGCATACCGTTAGAACACTGTCTCCTGCTTCTGTGTTTAGTGGGAAAGTGCCACTTAGTTGGGCCTCTCATTACAAACTTCCTCAAGTTTGCATATAAATGAAGGAAGCCAACAAATGTCATTCAACATTGGCCTTCTTTCCTAATATCTGCAATAAATACACTTGTCATTGTACAACTCCATGGAAGAGAGAAAGGAGAGACCGCCTCTATGTGTGCCTGTACTGCAACAGGCGTTTTAAAGTGTGCTTTCTCCACCTCCGATTGCGTCTGGACAACACTGAAGCCTGCCAGCGCTTCACAAAGCGAGTGTGGCGTAGCTGCCCGCCCTTCGTGCCAGGGCTCATATAAAATGCCCTTCAAGCACTGCATTCCCATTCTGGGGTGGGGGAACGGCTTCAGCTCGCGGCCTCCCCGAGACAATCTGGCCTCGGAAGATCTCCAAGGCGGGCCAGGAACAAAGATGCGCCTGGGAGTTCCGCCAACCCCGCCCGCTGCGCCCCCGCAGGGTCTGAGAGGTCCCGCCTCAGACCCCTTCGAGGAAGAGCACGGATGATGCCTAAAACTGGAAAGAAGTCTAAATTTGGCTTCCGGAGGCGGAGAGAGTGAGAGCGAGCGAGCGAATTTCCCGGGCTCCTCAGACCAAATAAACAGAGGAAAGCAGCCCAGCCCAGCCCAGCCGCCGCTCGCTCCAGGCGGCAACATTTTTCAGGCATGACGCAGGCGGGCGGACGGGCAGGCGAGCTCCCCCGAGGCGGCACTCCCAGCCAGGCGCCCCCAGACCAGGCGCCCTCCGGCGCCCCACAGACCGCCCCCTCCGCTCGGCTGGAGGCCTGTGCCTTCTCCCTCCTTCCCTTCCACGCCCCTCCCCTTGCCTTCTTTTAAAGGCGCCGCAGTGTCTGCCCGGCGAGCCTCCGGCCCATGTGGGGCTCTTCCCGCCCCGCTTCCCCGCGCTTTGCCTCCCGCTCTTTCGCCGGGTACCTACGTACCTTCTTTCGCTTTCTTCCTCCTGGCCAGCGTGCCCCCGAGTTTGCCCAAGAAGGAGTCGTCTTTCTTCCGGGACGGGGGCGACTTCGGGGTGGGCGACTTGGGGGACGAGGGCGATTTCTGAGGAGACGTGGCCATGGCGGTGGTCCTGCAAACGCGCGCCCGAGCTCGGCGAAGAAAGAACCGGCCGCTGCTCGAGTCAGTCACAGGCTGCTGGTCCTTATTCCCAACGGAAGCGGAATTATTCCAAGCATTTGAGGCTGTTCTTGTTCTTGCTCGCCCTTCCTCCCTCCCTCCTTTCCTCCTCCTTTCCTCCCTCCCTCTCTCTCTCTCTCTCTCTTTCTCCCGCGCACACCCAGGGAAGGGTTTTCCTGTTCCTCCGAGGCGCGCAAGGGTCGAAAGCAGCCTTTCGGGAGCTAGAGTTATTATGGGGCCATCCCCGGTCCCTTCCCTCCCTGCCTCCGCCTCACCCCGAAATTGTAAGCTCTGGTCTGCGATAAGTTTTTAAGTCAGACGAAATCGGAACTAGAAGACGTTGCAGCCCTTGCCGTCCCGTGCAAGTTCACTGGGAAACGAATCCCAGAGTGTTCTCCGCAGGGTTTAGGAGAACAGCTCGATCGTATGTATGGTTGCTTTACTTGGACAAATCCCACTAAATTTTATTGGGATTATAAAACAGGGTTGCCCTCCTAAGCATTACTAGTGTTTAAATTGGGCTCTTTTTGAAGGCTGAAGTTGGCGCCTTTCTGAATTCATAGTTGGATCTAGGGTCTGGGTAAAAGGAGAATGCATGAAATAAAAAATGGGTCCTCATGATTTATATCATTTTTAAATGGGAGAATCTTTATAAAAACACTAGCAAATCATACATCTCCTCTAAGTCGACGGACTACACCACAGAAATTATGTGTCCATCAAGGCATGGCATTGCAGTGGCGTAAAAACATGGCTATGAGTCACGGATCCTCATGAGTCCACATGATTTTTATGTAGGCTCATCTCCAAGCCATTCTCCAATTACAGAGCCTATTGCTCCCTAGAGGCTACACCACAGAAACCATGGATTCATCAGCACATGGCTTTGCAGTGAAGCAATAACACCGAGGTACAGAATCCACCTGATTTTTATATAGGATCTCCCCCAATCCACTCTCCAATCATAGAAACCAAGGCCCACAGATTAAAAACAAGAAATCGTGTCCCTCAGCATATGACTTTGCAGAAGCACAATAAGATGGCTCTGCAGCATGGAGTGCCATGGATCCACATGATATATAGGATCCTCACCAAAGCACTCGTATCCAATCATATGCACCATTTGTGTCTGTAGGCTAAACCGAATAAATCATGAGTTCATAGGCCCATGATACACAATGGAACTGGAGGGACTGATATGTCTTCTACTTTTGATACCTGACGAGTAATTTCTATGTCGTAGTCTGTAGACACATGATCTATGAAATGACAGTGGTTTAGGGAGAATTCCATATAGAAATCATGAATACATGTGGATCCCTGCCTTGAATTCAAGTTTTTGTGTCACAGCAAAGCCATGTGTCAACAGATCCATTTATGTGGCATAATCTGCCGGCATAGATGGGATCAATGATTTGATGATGATTTGACAAGGATCCTGTGTAAAAATCATATGAAATCCTCAGGATCCATTCTTGGTTTCGTGGATCCACTTGTTACCCCAACCCCATAGATCTCATCTACGCCCACAGACTACAACACAGAAATAATGGATCCTGCAGCATATGAGTTTGCAGTAGTGCCAAAACATGAATCTAAGGCACTGATCCTCATGATTTCCTACTATTTTTAGATTAAATTTTCCCTAAACATCCATCAGCTCATGGAAACAATTTGTACCCACAGACTAAAACACAGAAATTGCGTGTCCCCCAGTATATGACTTGCAGTGTCACAATAACACCAAGGCACAGATTCTCATGGATCCAAATGATTTTTATGTAGGATCATCCACTGTCCAGTCATAGGTTTCATCTGTATCCACACACTACAACCCAGATTTTCATGGGTTCTTCAGCATGTGGCTTTTCAGTTCTGCAAAAATATGCATGCAAGGTATAAATTCTTTTTGATCCACATGAGTTTTATATCAGTCTATTAGCAGAGAAGTATTCAGTGATTCAGCATGGCAATCAGTATTCCCTCTAAGGAAATGAAGAGGGCCCAAGAGGATTCTTGCCATGGTTTCTTTTTACTCTAGTACAGAAGAGAAGTATAAGAGTTATAGTTTCAATAGTTCATTTTTCTGAGCATGAGTGCTGCATAAAGAACAAGCTGGGCCACATTAGTCATTGCCCAGGACCCATGCTCATGGGCCATGGTACTAGGGTCATCTGGCAATTTGGGATTTTGATGTTCAGTCTATTACCAGAGATGGGATGTGTGACTTGATGTTAGTTTGGAGAGAATCCCAATTTAAACTCCTGTGGTCCATGATCTGATATGTGTTACAGATCTTTTGGGTTTTTTATTTTGTTTTTTTGCATCATGGAGATACTGTGTTTTTATGCTTCACTCTATGAGTACAGATGGATCCACAATATCTATCTACAGTGGTGCCTCACTTAGCGATGTTAATCCGTTCCAGAAAAAACATCACTAAGTGATTTAATGGCTAAGCGATATTAAAAAGTCCACAGAAACATATTAAAACGTGTTTAATACGTTCCTGTGGGCTAAAAACTTACCTTAAAGCGAAATTCCTCCATAGTGGTGGCCATTTTGGGTGCCTCTAAAGCGAGGCAAAACAGTGGTGGCCATTTTGTTTTTGCGGCGGCCATTTTGGAACCGCTGATCAGCTGTTTAAAAAAGTTTGCTTTGCCATGATCGCTTCCCCGCGATCATCGCAAAGCAAATTTCAGCCATAGGGGACATCGCTAAGCGATCGCTCCAGCGATGGCCAAAAGTTCATCGCAAAGCGATTTCATCGCTCAACAGAGCGATCGCTAAGCGAGGCATCACTCTGTCTGTCTGTCTGTCTGTCTGTCTGTCTGTCTGTCTGTCTGTCTGTCTGTCTGTCTGTCTGTCTATCTATCTATCTATCTATCTATCTATCTATCTATCTATCTATCTATCTATCTATCTATCTATCTATCTATCCTTCCTCCCAACTAGTGGCGAGGCTACTATGGGTACAAGTAGCATATTATAAACATAGGTTAGGCATCATTCAGTCTCAACAGACTATGGTAACGTGCTCTGTATGGAGGACTTGGAACAGCATCTAGTGTGGCTGAGAAGGCCAATTCGAGAGTGACAATCTCTTCCACACTGAAGACAAATACAATCTGTCCCCTGTCCGGCTCCCTGATTTTGCTGCTTTTGTGACTTCCTCTTTGCCTTGGCCTG